TCTGACTTAAGTCTGACGAAGCCAAAGGATAAAAATCATCTGCACTGTGAATATGAACTTTTTTTTGGTCTGCGATGCGCTTCATCGATGTCCCAATCTCATCACACTTTTTGGACATTTTTCGTGGCGACCGAAAACGTTCTTATAGCTATGTTTTGCTTCATTCGAGCTGTCGCCAGAACGAATTATTTTTGTCAGACTCGATACTTTTTCAACGGTTTCTGATATCTAATCACAAAACTCTCAGCATAAACTTAATTCTTTCCTGGGATTTTCAGTTTTTCTTTGACGTTCTGGAAGTTTAATTTTCGGTGCAATGGGTTACCCCGGTTTGGCTTTAGAGAGAGAGAGAACCTTGAAAAAATCGCTTTGTTGGCTACATTCTCGAAGCGTGTATTTTGTGTTTCTGATTTCTTTTTGCTAGTCGGTTGGCGATATATTTCAAAGAGGAGTGTATTTTTGAATTGCTTGTCGTACATTTTCTTTAATATTCTCGGGCATAGCTTAGTTTTTGCTTTTCTCTGTCTCTTTTCCAACGAATTGCGTTTCGCGAAGGCATATTGAATATTACAGATCATATACATATCGTGCAAATGGAATTCAAGGAAATAATAATTAATTATAACACAAAAACATCGTTGAAAAGCTTTAATCTTTCATATTACTTAATTAGAGTTTTCGGTTTATGCTGTTCTCCATTAATAATAATTGCATTAATTGAAAAGAAAACAGAATGCAAACATTAGGGGACTTTATGATCGATTTCAGCGATCCCCGGGAATACACTGAACGAAACGTTATTTACTGAGAGTCAACTATTTTTGGCTTTAATGGTCTTCATATACCATTTTTTGTTATGACTTTTCCGATAAATTATGCTTATGGAATATCTAAATAACTTGTCATTTGCTTGCACGTTACGTATTATTGTAAAGGCGTATAAATTGTAAAAAGCACATTTACAAAAGGGCAAATTCGTTAGCTGTTATCGTTTCCTTGTCTATAAGTTGATCTTTATGCGTAATTACTGAATAACTGCTGAACATGTGTTTTAAGAATATGGGTCATCATATAAAATTAAACCAATCCATCTGGGATTTATAAAAAGGGCTAATTATTGCTTTGAGTTCAATGCTAAAACCGTGACGTTTTTCACGCGTGACGTTTGTCACAGTTTCGCACAATATTAGTTCATAGATGGGGTAATTCTGGTTATTTCGAAAATCCCTTTTTGTTATGATGGAGTGGACATATTGTTTTCTTGGAAATTGCCTTATTCCCATCAAGACTATTGTCAATATATGAGTGACATCACGGTCGTTTTTCACAAGCAAAACGGTGAATCTTCAGAATTTTTCAGATCATGCTCATTATAATCCAATCACAACTATAATCACGATTTGTGACACGATGGTCTGATAAACTGAACTAAAGACTTGATAAATACAGATAATTTATTTATCTCGAGTTTCCCTACTGCCGTCTGGGCCCGTTTTAACGACCGTGACGTTTTTCACAGAATAAATTTTACACTTACTATAATGGGTATATATAATCGGTAGTAGGTGAGAAGCAAATACACTGCTGTCATCACACTCTGACTGAATGTTTTCTATGCCAACAGAACAAAAATGAAAATATGCGACCATTTATGACTGAGATATGACATGTTTTCACAGGCGTGTTGTCCCGTTTCATCAACAAATTCAAGAAATTCACAACTTATTCGCGAGTTATCAAAGTTATTTACAACCGGAATGATCAATAAGTATGCTGACCGAATTTAGATAAAGGCATTTTATTTTAAAATACATAAAACAATGAGAAAAAATCATTTTTGTTTTGGCTATTTTCAATTACATGAAATATACCCATTTTTAACATTTATTGGTTTTGAATGTTATATCTATTGGGTGTTGTTTCTTTTTGTTCTTCATTTTGGTGTTTCTGAATTTGATTTATTTACTCAATTTGACATTAAGCCTAAGATAATTAGTGTTATGGACGATCCATCTTTATCAATCAAATTGTTGTGATCCTCTATCATGTCAGATTCACTCAGAGTCACTTGGAACACGTTGCCCTTCTTTGTGTTGTCCCTGTCTGTACTCTTATCATTGGGAGCATTTTTACATGTACATGGATATGTAAGTTAAAAAGTTGTTTTTCTGACCCTTATTATATTGTATGGATGATACGAGCATTAAAACTAAGATAGTCACCACTTTTCATTTGTTACAGACGCTCAACGCCGACCGTCGAACACCGTCTACAAAAAGTGTGAGACTATAAAAAATGGTGGTGACATAAAACAAAGTGTTCAACTTTTCCGACATCCATGACAAGATGGCTGAACCTGTTGCTTTGTATTGTTGGTGTGCATTCTTTCTATTTCAACATCGAGATATTCTTAAATTACTTCATCCATCAACATTATTACTGACAATACAAAAACGTTTCTTTCATACTGGAACATTCTATTGGGAAATGTTTTATTTACTTATTTCTAGATTTTGTTGCCTCGTGTACATGTGTATTTCGATTAATTTATGATTGTAAGCCTTTATGCTATTTGTTAAAGTACTTTGTGTCAAAGTTTTCTGTCTTGAAAATGAAAATGAATAATGACCTTCCATTAACTATATGGAAATTCTTGGTTACATTATACTGTTGTTATATAAAGATATGCATTAGGTCGCCTTGGGATTTGCTTCCGTATAACAGAAATGGAAGTCGCAATAAGCCTTTCAATTACATTCAGTAACACATCATTAACTTTTTGATATATTCCGACGATAATTCAGACGTACCTACTACTAGCACGGTACCTTTTTCTGAAGTCAACTTAAATGTCGCAGATATGATATTATAGTGGTAATTTTCCTCTGCAGTATAGTCACGCCTAACCATCGATAACATATGTGACAAAAGATACCGTCGTACACTTTAGATGTACCGTGTCACTATTCTAACTGATATGAAGCAAAAACGATGATGTGGGTGTGGTGTAGGTTTTAAAAATTAATCTGAGAAATACTTAAGGGATTTATGTTTAATTTCGTGTGTATTCGATTTGAAAAGATTTCGGGCAGTGCTCGAGTTTTTTTGTAGTAAATCTACCCATCAACAATGATCGGTTGGAAAATGTTTTTTTTTTCACATTTCCTTCGGTCATTTTTTCCCCTGTCGCCTAAGAGTGTCGATTATTTTTATGAGAATATGTTTCCCAAAGTTACACAATTAAGGTCGGTTGAAGATTTAATAAATATTCACGTTTTTGCTAAAATAATAAAAATAAAAAAATCATAAGAATACGTTGTCATCTCGATGTACGTTGTCCCATTGAACTTACATATCTGAATTCACAGTTAACCCTTATGTAGACAACGTATCTTTTCATAAAACTAAGGGGAAGGGGGATCAGATTCATTTAAAACTGAAACGGAACAATCCACTATTACTAATTCAACTTGACTGAACTATATTGAACCTCTGCACTTTCCAGATATAGCATAAACGGGATTTCGAAAGTCATCTTCGATTAGCTAGTAAAGATCTCTCCATGAACTCCTTAAGATTATTAAAATTCATAAAAGTGCAACATAATGTAATGTACCGACGCCTAATGGTCGAAGAGGTTGGAAGATAACACCCCATGGTCAAATATTAATCACTATATCAACACTTTCATAAAATAAAATAGCATTCAATAAGAGGTAAAAAATCACTTTTACCTGTTTATCTGTACAAGAGATACATGAACATGTTAGTTGAACATCACTTGTTATTCATAAAACCCTTAATGCGTTTTGAAATTAAATCATTGCATTTTTTACATTTCAATTACAGGGACAACGTACATTGGAGATGACAGCGTACATTTTTGATTTTTTAAATTATACCAAATGCATGAATATTAATAAAACCTTCAACCGTCTTAAATTGTGTAGTTTAGAGAAACGTATTGTCATAAAAATATTCGGCACTCTTAGCCGACAGGGGAGAAAATGATCAAAGGAAATGTGTAAAAAACACATTTTTCCAACCGACCAATTGTATGGGTAGATAAACAACGAAAAAAGCGAACACTGCTCGAAAATCTTTTAACGTGATCAGAAAGGTAAATATTTTCCAAATCGAATACACACGAAATCAGACATGAATTCCTTTATGTACTCAAACCTACAACATAGTTTCGCTTCTAATCAGTTAATAGTGACACCGTACACCTAAAGTGTACGACGGTATATCTTGTCACAGTACGTTGTCGATGGTTGGGCGTGATAGTGTGTGTGTAGGGGCAATATATTTATGATCCACAATATGTTGATTAACGAAGCGAAAGGAGTATTTCTTGCAGCAAATCTCATCAAGTAATCCCACAAAACCTCCTAACGACGACAATAAACATATATATTGTATCGCGTTTATGTAATTGGACCTAATGCGAGGAGGTATTTATGTATGCTTACCAGCGCCAAATCCTAAGGTAGCATTTGCGAATGCAACTGACGGCTGACTGATTAACCAACTATTTTATGGCAAAATCACTAAAATACAGTACCTGCCATTATTCCATAAGTTATATTCAAATGTAATGGCCATAAAAGTAGGTTAAACCGCCAGCCGTCAGTTCGAATATAGCGAATGCTACCTGACATTAAGTAAAACTATAGTCTTACAGCTATGCTCAGTGGTTACTTCATGAAATGGATGTGACCGGTGTAACTGAGCTTTACTGAATTTTAAATGTTGTGGGTAAATCATGATTATTCCTAAGAAAGATGCATTTATAAACCACTTTTAAGATCAATAAAACTTAAAAGAAATGATAATGTAAGATGTAAACCAATGAATGTCTCATTAATACATGATTTATAGGGCCCTGAGTTGTTTCACTAATGTATCGTTTATACTTTATCATAGCCAATATTATAAACCCCTTGGTGCCCATTGAACTACCGTTGAAAATACATGTGAGAATAAGTGATAAACGTTACCAATAGAAACTCTTTGAAGTCAATGTTTCCACTGTCGTCGGCATCAAACGTTCGAAAGACGTGTTGGTAAAAGCTTTTCGCACGTCCATCTGGGAAGAGTTCTTGGTACATGTCAAGGAATTTGGCCCTGCTTAGCTCACCTGAAGGGCAATCCTTCTGAAAATACAAGGCAAAGAAATCTAGTAGTCTAGTAGTTCAACAAAGTGTTTCACTTTGTACAAGTGGTTCCACTTGACCTGCTACATAAAGTAAGAAAGTACCAGCGCGGAGGTAGAAGAAAGCAAATAGTACTATACAAAAAGGCCCTATTATCTTTAAACTTATTTTAAATAAGGCCCAAATCTAGCCTTGATATTTAATTTTCAGCTCCAAATCGAAAGAATATTTGTGTGTTTGAGATCTGTGGTATTTTGTATTTTTCTTTAGTAATTTCCCTTCTCTTTGAGCATTGGACACTACTAGTTAAGTGCGTTACTACCAGAAAATACAGAACAAAAATCAACGAACCCCGAACAACCCAAAACTAAGAAAATAAGAATAAGGGGAATGGCCTATTTTTTCTTTGTATGTTTTGTCATTGAATAGGATATTTGGGGCTATTTTCTTGTATATTCCATTTTCTTACTGCTTTCCACTTTGATAGTTAATTGGTGTAGGTTTAGTCAATTGAAGTAAGTCAGAAGAGACGCAAGGAAGAGCATAATAATTGGACATAAAGACATAAACTAATGTGTCCGGGGGATTTTTTTCTGATATATTTGTTTTGATCTAATTATAGTGTGTAGAATTACTAAAAGTAACCTGATATTACAGTGGGTAAATGTCTTTCATAGAATTACGAAAGACTAAATATATCAGTTGTATAAATCCATATAATCCTATAAATCTTCTATCAGGGGTATTTATCTGGCTAGTGAAGAGACTTATGCTACTTTACCAATAGGATACCCGAGGGACCCAGTGAGATGATTGGAATGTTAAGCTTACTATCACAGGCCATAGCTTATACACCAAAACAAATGTGCCTAGAAAACAGATTCATAGAGCCCATTCTATGTTTTTCTGGAGTCAGCGTAATGTGGAAAATGAAAGTGCAGAGAATGTATTTAAGGAGAAAAGTACAACCAACCATCGGGAATGCAATTCTAAAAGGTTAAACCTTTATGAGTTCTTTCATAAAATGTATCTTTTTCACCTTTTTATCTGGAGGTCAATAGACTTTTCTATTACCTTTTGGAAATACAGTGCTCATTTTTTCAGTCAAGCATTTTATACCAGTATCACATCATATCTCGCGGATAAAGCATGTAACATGGATCAGAAGAGTTGAATATAAAATTGAAAAGATATTTGAAGATATTTGCAGAAAACCTGAAATATAAAACAGAATTTTCGGCTTGAGCCGGGTCAAAAATCATTCACTAAATTTACCACTGAAATGGTATGGGTCACCTCCAAGGAGCGAGTGTCCTGCATATCCCCAAAACATATTTTACAAGTTTCTACTGATCTTCAATTTTGACATCATACTGTTATATCATATTGTAGTTTTCTCTACACAACTGCAAAATAAACAATACTGTATATGTAGTGCATTTGTCACCCCTGAATCATCCTATAGTTCAGATACTATTCTAGAATCTACTTGTTGAGACACCATCGACTTGATTTCTTCTGAGAAAATGAGGATTTCAGCAGGGTGCATTGGCTTAACATGGGTTTGACTATTGACTTAGCATTGGGATACCATCACTGTATATCACCATAGGGATAGATACAAAATCCTCATTTTAAATTTTTCCCCCTAAGTGGATTTTTTGGCAACCCAGCCAAATCACTTCAATAATCCCTTATGATAGTGATTAAACAATAAAACACCGTACTTTTAAACATTCATACGTTCAGAAAATGGCAAATGGACTAATTGTTGGATGCGCTGACAGTCATTTTGACCTTAATGAAGTCTCAATGATAAGTTCAGAGTATGAGAATATTACTGTCATTCAACGGAACCATCGACGATAAGTGGATCAGTCAACGTTGCACTGATAATATGGGAAGTGAAAAGGATCCACTACTTCGGAACACTTGAATAAATGCAAGTGCTGCTGAAGTGCTTGTAAACGGGAAACAAGAATATATAAGATGCAAGTGCTGCTGAAGTGTTTGAAAACGCGAAACAAGACTATTAAAGATGCATGTTTATCAATACTGCTTTATCTCAGCAACCAAATGATGAGGCAGGGAAATAATTGAAAGCAAGAACTGTTAGTTAAAAAGTAAACGCTGATAGGATATAAGATGTTTCCCGTATAGTTTATTGCCTCAAAGTAAAGGTTACACTAACTGATTTACCACTATTAACCTGTCAGTTCAACGACCAAGCCAAATCGAAAAACACATCGGCAACCAACATTAGCAAAGATGTAGATTTCCCAATAAACGCTATATCAATCTGTAGAATTAATTAACAGAATAAGTTCCGTATGATACTCAAAAAGTGGCTTAATTATTCCAAAGATACAATCGATCCATTAAATTATATTACCTTGACCATCATAAGACTCTCCCCTCACATAAGAGACCAGAATACCAAATAGATATTGGCAAAAACGGAATCTAATCAAGTGCTTAGATAAATGAGAAAAACAGAGAAATTTAAGTACACGTACAGTGTGGGCCAAATATCGTCCGCATTTTTTTTATTTCAATATAACTTTTTTTGAAAATGCACATGGCTTTCCTTAAAATTTTGGCAGGAAATGCACAAATCAATTTTTCAAGAAGGTTATATCGAAACAAAAAATGTGGATTTTTTTGCCCACCATGTATACATCCAAATGACTATTCTATTGTCAGACATATTCTTCTAGTTTGATTTCACTCTATATTATAATGAAACTGTCAAAGGGTGCCATTAAGCGAACACATCCAGTGTAATGGAAGACCTATTATGGTGATAACACTCTGTAATCTCCTCGAAGATTTGTATGTCCGTGTCATTTGAGGGATCAAACACAGGAAATAAAGATATTGATATGGAATAGTTTCATATATTCCCGTAACTTTTTAGCTTGAATTAGGTGCTCTCTGTTAACGAGATGTGGTTTATTAAGACTGTTCTTGATTTGGGTACAAATTGCCTTGAAGTCAGAATCCGAGGTTGTGACAAAATTGTAAGAAACATTACAGTTGACCCCCCTTTGTGTTTTTACGCTTCCAAATAGAATATCTCCAGAATATCTCCAGAAATGTCCGTAATATCTTAGATCAAGATTTGGGATATTTGGGGTTTGTTTTCCTTATGACTGTTGTTATATAAGAAGCAAAGCAGCTGAGATTACCCATCTAAACATTTAATGTTGTGGGTTTAGTGCTTGTGAGCATGCGTGAACATGTATGGTCAAATAATCTTATGGTACTGGGCAAGTCTAGGCAAAGCATCGCAGTTACCCAAGCATGTCTGGGCATATAACCAAGCTTTGCACTTGTCTGAGCAAACATTAAAATGATCCAAAAACATCAAGGCTGGGATTGAGCATGTCTGGGCAATCTATTGTATGGGACTGGGTATTGTATTGGTTTTGTCTGGTCAATTAAACCATTAAATGGTTCCATACATAGATGGTCAGATCATCAAGTGGAACTGGGCAAATCTGAGACACGTATGTATAGCAGATCTGTAGATGGGGCCGTGCACTACATGCTGAATTTGTACATGTCCAAAGTGATACCAGAATATAATAAAGACAACAGACACAATATCTAAAAGAGTTCTTCTCGCTTTTGAGGATATTGATGTAGATTGTCCAATTACATTAACTACTATGAAGGGAGACATATAGAAAATATATTGGACGTATTATACGTGTTTATGGTCAGGGTTAATTGGAATTAGGTGAATCTCTATTTACTTGATCTTTACAAATCCTACTATATCGTCCAAAATAAGCCCTATTTGAAGTCTGTAACCAATAAACTCCATTTATTCTGACAGGTGAAGTTGCTGAATATGCAGTAATTTACCATTAAGCTAACTTGATTTCGTTTTCTGGACATACTTCATTGAATAACACTAATGTAATATACTTTGGCCATCAGGCTTTCACTTTTCCAATACTTGTGATTGTATATCCAGAATGGAAAAGTTCAGCACCAATATTGGCCAGTGTCGGAACATCGAATTACAAATTGCCAATCACCTTACATTATTTCGGAAACATGAGCTGCTTGTTCTCTTAAACATTACACTTTTTGCATTAATGAGCTGCTCGTATTCCTTTTATACATCACACTTTTTGCAATTATGTGTGTTCTACCTTTCATTGATGTGACTGACACCCCGTTAATTATTTAAAATAAACTGGAAAGAAAAATGAACACCGGTTAAGTGATATTTCAATGGAATAATTGACAGAGTGATTCAAAAATCCAAATACGAGACATAACTGATGTTAGCCAAACGTGTGTGGTATTGATTACCCCTATCACTTTACATATTTATGTCCTGATGCTATTGAGATATCAATAGCTCAATTGCACACCAAAAATGCTTCGTTCAAATCAAGTAATGTAATGCCAGCCATTAACAAATGTATTTTTGATTTTCCTGAATAAATCACGATGCTTTGGGTTATCTTGTCCCTCATTTGTTTTAATTATAGCAAAATGCATATTCCCTTGACAAAACATTAATCAGGTTTACGCAAGCAGTTATGATGTCTGAACTGTAGACAATGAACAATTTAATTGCAATGGTTGATACTCGTTAGATATATTTATTGAGTGTTGTTCAACTTTCATAGTATTTAAGTTCCTGGTATAACCATCATGATAAACCATGACATCTCAAATCTTCTCAGCCCTGTTTCAGGTTAAACAGAAAGATGCTATGAGTATCAGAATGGGTATAACATTCAACATGTCATTTATGAACATATTGCACATCATTAAATTGTTATCGGATATATTAGCACTATACGACACTATGTAATACGAGTATATATGCAAGATGAATAATATGCAAGATGCGGGTTTCGTTTGTAACATTTGTAGTTTCCATATAGACTGAAATATATACATTGACTTGTAATTTGAATATAATTTCTAATTGTGTCTATCTTTTTAAATACCATATTTGTTGGTTAGTTAATTGC